TAGGAATCCCAATTTTACAATTTTGTAGCCTCATCTACCAAGGATGATTCTGAACAAGTTTGAAAAAAATCCATTCACTGGTTCTTGAGAAGAAGTTGAAATGTAAAAAGTTTACGCACGACGGACGACAGACGACGACGGACGTAAAGCGATTAGAATAGGTCACTTGAGCAAAGCTCAGGTGACCTAAAAATAGAATTCAATAATACATGAACTTACTTCTCCAGTTCCACACCACCAGTCTCTAACATGATCAACAATGGCGTTAGCTGCAGACATAGCACTTGACAGTTTCCTTGCTGCTATTACAGCAGCCCCTCGCTTCTGCACCGTCTGTTGGAAAATGTTTAATGATCATCTCTAGCAGAGAAACATTTCAGTTTTTAACACTTATTATTGAATAGTGAGTTCAGGATAACATTCTTGCATCCTCTGTAAGTATAGAACATGCAGTGCTCTCAGAAGTCATTAATGTTTCAAAATTAGAAATCCAACTAGGAGCCAATGCTATTGAAAATGAAAAATCCAACTATCAGAAATAGAGAAACATAACAGCATATTAGCTCATCTATTTAAAGAATGTTAAATCATGTGAAAAATTTAAGAAAAAAAACATAAATTCTCTTTTGACTTACAACAATGACCTCTCAGGAACCTTAATGCTAAATATCACTATTGTGACAGAAATCTCTTGATTTTGATTTATTACAAATTTCATCACAGCTGCAAATTTATACCTGGAATAATAGGGATATAAAGTCAAATCCAAACAAAGTCAACGATTGAAGAAAAATGTAAAGATGCTCTTAAAGGTTTTATGTTTGAATTTTTACTCCTGTGACCTTAAAAGTGGGTCAAGGTTATTTATTTGAAGCAGAACAATTATTGTAGCCCTTTATCCAAGTATGTCACTGGTCAAACATCATCAAAATAGGCCCCTTAATTATTGAAAAGAAATTGCTTTAATGTTTTACCAATTTGACAACTGTGGTTTTAAAACTTGGTAAAGATTGTTTATTTGTATTTTCTTCATTCTAGCATGCCTCTGGACAAAAATGATAAAAACGAGAGAATAAATTCTGATTTCAATGTCGGTGTCCGGTTTCAATTTTATAGTCACAACTTACATTTCCTTTTCGGTAAAACAGCTCTTATGAGGCTGTTTAATGTTCATACCCACTGTCATCGCATATTAATTAGCAACTAGCCCTACTGGATGGGGGATCCCCGATTTAATAGCCTAAAAGTTCACACATCAGTGAGCATGACACCAAGCCATGTGCCACACCTATGCTGCTAATTGACCTGGCCAGTGGCGCATGACTTTAGACCTCTCAGTGACCAAGGTCAGTGTATTGTATTGTATTGTTTATTCACAAAGATTGACCAAACTGCTTCATTTTGGGAAATTTGTGATAAATGTGTCTCATGCTGTGAGGAATATTTTTTCTGAAGTAACTTTGTGAGTCTCACACTCAAATTGTTAGATATGGCATGTTTGCCCCCTCACCTAAGGAAATGGTTGTCAAAAGTTGTCAAGTGTGATTTTTGACCCCTTGAACTTGACTAATCACCACTAATAGCCATGTAGAACACCATGGTATAAGCTCACTTGGCCCTTTTAGGCCAGTTTGGTTGAAAAACTTGACATGTATTGAAAAAACTGGAAACAATTACTCACAGCTACAAACTCATTGTGGACCCAGTCGTTGTCCTGAATTTTTGAAATAACATCATCCACCTTTCCATCAATTGTGACCTTTGCATTGGCCAGATCTGGAAACTGGGTTGATGAATGGTTTCCCCAGATGATGCAGTCAGTGACAGCATTGCACGGAACTTCCAACCTGCGAGCAACCTAAAAATCAACCATAAAAATGAGATATACCTTGGTATATGTTTTGAAGAAAGTTTCCTATAACATGAGTGAAGAGTTTGTTGGCTATTTCTGTATTATGTGCCACAGTGGATAACACATTCCAAAACAGGAAGGCAATCATACATTTTTTTATGCAAAACAGAAACATTTTCTGCTTTACATCACATCACATTTACTAGGTATCTCTACAGGAACTCAACATATTGTGCAGAAACAAAATTTTCTATTCATAGCAACTATTAACTTAATATTTTAGCTAGGAAACACTACATCTACCTGAGGATTCTAGGGGTAACACTCACTTAGTTCTCTTTTCCCTAGGAATATGACAAAATCAGTGGCACGCAGTTAAGCTATTTGATTGGTTTCAGGTAAAAAACATACGTTAGGCTGATACCTGTTCTTTGAAGACTTTGTTAGGCTGATACCTGTTCTTTGAAGACTTTGTTAGGCTGATAACTGTTCTTTGAAGATTACAGAGGAGAGACATCTAACTTCAAAGTCTGTCAATATAACTGTTACATTGCTGCGACGTTAATTTGATGTGCATAAAAGAATCAAACTAGTCTAACTTGTATTATACACAAGGTGGTGTGTACAGAGCCTTCGATTGTGACCTATTCCAGGTGTACACAGAACATAAGAGAGTAGAACCCTGGAATTTTGAGGATGCACTATATAAAGTTTTAACAAATTTTGCCTACAGGAGCAGAAAATTATTTACCTAAGTTACAAAGGTCAAAGGTGATAGCTACAAAAAAAGTGTTAATATGCAATACTCATGAAGGCACAAGAGCAAGACCCTAGCTGTAGTACTTGGTCCAGAATCAACCTAAATGCAAAAACTTAACTGGCCATATATACATCGGGACAGGGATAACTTAAAACGTCCCAAACCTTTTGGTGACAGGGCATAAAATAAGTGACTAGTGTCAACCTACCTGTGCTTGTGCCCTGTTTTGGTCAAGACGAGTTAGGGCTGAGAAGTTTGTCTTGGGAATTGAAGGAGCATATTTGGAGCAGATCAGGGCATTAGTGTTGGCTGGGTTACCCACAACTACCACCTGGAAAAGAATCAGTTACATAGGTATGGTAAGTTTCTAATGACAAGAGGCCCATGGGCCTTAACAGTTACTAGAGAGAATAGTGTTATAATAATAATTTCAGCTTCTTATGGTACTGCTTTATCACAACCTCGTTGGTAAGTCGTCTCAAAGCAGTTCACAAATTATTATCCGTGGTTAAAGGGCCTTAATAACCAGCCAATAACTTTTTCAACTCCCTGGGGAGCATACAGCCGGTGCTGCCATTTAGGCACTCACAGCTAGCATTTAACAACTCCAGCACTGCCCGACACCGTACTCATTTACAGCTGAATAGACTGGAACAAGTGGAGTAAAGTATCTTGTTCAAAGATACAACACAGCGCTGTGACGTGACTCAAACCTGCATCCCTTAGTTAGGTCATGAGCTTGGCATCCTACCATAAGACTACTGTGCCTCCAAGTGTCCCCTAATGTTAACGTTGGGCATAGTGAACAAAGTTTGTTTATACAGAACTTAGGTCTGAATCCACCAGCATCTTTCATAGGAAATGTCATTTGCAGCCTTTGCACTAATAACAAATTAACAAGCAGCCCCTGAGTTCACCTGGGCGGTTCAGCCCTTCCTGGATTATAAATTCTTATCTTCATCATCTATAGATCATTTTAAATCATGTTGTTTAGAGGAAAAAATCTTTTTATAAAATTCAGTTATCCTTATCATCCATGGATCATTTAATTATATATTGGAATGATCATGAAAAACTATTTGTAAGTTACTTTCATTAGAGATATCATTTTTAGCTCACCTTNAAATGGGAACATACTGTCAGATACCGGTAACAGGAACATACTGTCAGATACTGGTTACNCACCTTATGCCATACCGCAGCGTCCGTCGTCCATCCGTCGTCCGTCCGTCCGTCAACTTTTCCCTTAAAACGCTACTTGTCCTGAACGGCTAGGTAGATTTTGACTAAATTTGGTCTGGAGCATTCTTAAAAGCCAAGGGGGCTCAATTTTGTATAAACGGTGGGTGTGGCCCCCCCTGGGAGCAGAGGGGTGGGGCCCAATAGGGGAAATAGAGCTAAAACCTTTAAAATCCTTCTTCTACTGTAGGGAATAAGGGATTTTATCATAATTGAGTCTGGAGCATCCATGGGCCAATGGGACTCAATTTTGTATAAACAGTGGTAGTGNGCAAATAGTTAATACTGGTAACAGGAAACAACATGGTAATTACAACTGACCCACCTAAGGTACCCCAGATGTATATGCTGCACTTTTCCTGTACACTTGGCATTTTCCAGGAGCCTAAACATTCAGTAAACTACACACATCAAATGACTTTCTTCTGTAGATATTCAGTGATTTGGAATGTTTTGATTTGACAAAAATCAGTGATAAAAGCTATTGTAGTTGTATTTAAATGGTCAGCGGGCTGAGAGTTAAATGTATGCCCTGTCAACTATTCATTACAAAGAGTAAATAGATTGTATCACCCATGTCCTGTATGTAGACAGGAAATCTGAACCCGAGGGTCAATATTCTAATGCCCTGAACACAATCTTTGAAATAAATATAACTGACAGGTTAATATGACCCTAAACATTTTAATAAATATAAATGACCTTCACGATACAGTATCAATAACATTCTGTTTAAATGTCTTCCAGAATGGAAATCGGGGAATAAATATTATTTAAAAATGTTCAAGTAACAGTGTTGTAATATTTCAACATTTAGTAGATATAACATAGAGATTTTTAACAAATAAAACTCCATTACAGATGTCATGAATTAAGGGACATATCATAATTCATGCAATAGAATTTTATAGAAAACTACAAATTTGTGATCTGTACCCTGAGTATCAATCACTACACCCTCAAGATGCAGCTTCACTCTTCTTGCATAAAACTACTGAAGTCGTATTTAAATTGCATGACCAAAATCTTTTATGTAGACCAGGCATGGATTCTTTTAAAGCATTCTAGTTATTTAGAGGTCGTTGAAGTATTTATTTTCTTTTAAATATTAATTTTTCTTGATGAATTCACTTTTTGGAAAAAAACATCTCAGCTAGAAATCTTGGCCTGGTATTCAGTGTGCAAACTTAGCAGTAGACCCATTGCCTCAGTACATTAAATCATTATTATTTGAAATAGTAAAATACTTCCTTGAAGGGAATGAAGTTGTCACAGATGTTGAGAACAAGTTACTGATCTGTACCACAAAACAGGTAGAGTTACCTCCCTTCACGTACATTGGTTAAATATTCTACAATGTGATACACATCGCATGACAGCTATTTTCCAGATATAACCTTAATAATGTTGACGTAATCACAAAGTTTTGACCATGAAATTCAGGGGTCAGACAATATCTTGTGTCCTTTACATAAAACAAATATCTCAAGCTAATCCTGCATTTCATCAACAACAAAACCTGCTAATCTTCCAGCTAACAATTCAGAAATACCATACATGTATAAATGTGCACAATGAACCACCAGGGTTATCTGTGGTTGGAGGCCAGGACCGCTCGGTATACAGTCATTGCCGCCAACCTTATAGTTGTTTGTCATGTAGGTTATACAAAACAGGTCAATCATACAGAAATGAAAAATAAAAAGATTTCACTTCACAATGTCACAATAAGTTGAAATTAAAGAAAAACAAAGCCACATTAGTGTTTACCAAAGAAGCTGTCAATAGTCTTGGAGCTAGCTGTCTGTTTTGTTTTAAGTTTCTTGTTATGCGTTGGCAAGTTACCGTCATGTTTACGTTTCACTGCAGGAGGCGTTGTATAGACCAGAGACTTTTGCAAGTCCTCTGCAAAATGGAAATCCATATGTTCAGGTAGATCCCAAACCAAGATTCTCTTCTGGCACTTCTCACAGGCAAGATAATCCTCATCAGAACTCACAACTGATGCTAAATCAGAAGTAATGCTCTCATTTGAATTGCTAGCTGGAGGGTTTGGTGATTTAAATGTTGGGTTTTGGGTTTCAGCATCGTATGATGTCAAATGTTGTAATGTTTCCTGTTCAATATTGTGTGATAGACTCTGCGCCAAGTCTTTATCTATATTGTTATCCTGATATAGTTCTTCCTCTTGTACATCAGACTTGTTCGCCAGCGACACATCCTTGGTCATATTTGGTATACCTTTTCTAAAAGATTCTAATTTAACATTTTTCCTAGATGCAAAAAATCCTTTCTTTTCTGTTTTGTCTGAGACACCAATAAAAACATTTTTATGCTCCAACTTAGAGACAGAAGCTTGGCCTTCAATCTGAGAATTGGAATCACCATTGGGTATAGACTGTTTACAGTTTCCATCACTACTAGTACAAACTTTTGTAAAGAAACTTTGGATCCTACCCAAACTTGGCTGCCTTTGTGAGGCTAAGAGAACACTGTCAGAACACGATGTCTCCTTATTTGGAAGTTCTGATGAACTCGTCGTTCTTTGTGAGGACAAATCAAAAGAGGAACAATCAATATCACTGCTGTCCAAAGTAAAATCTTCACCATTGTCTATTTGATCAAATTCTGATGTTGACACTTTGGACTTGAAGAAGGAAGCAATGCTGGCTTTCTGTCCCTGTGAAGCTGTCATTGAGTCCCTGGAGCAGGAAGTAGTACCAGACTTGTTGCCAAGGAATGCTGTGATGGAGCCTCCGCCCGATTCCTCCTGAAATTTACCGGCAGAAAGTCCGAGGCAAATAATGGCAGGTNCTTATTTTACTGTAGGAATAAAGGGATTTTATCCTATTTCTAAACATTTTCTTCAGGTTGTTTCAGGTTCTTTTTACACAACCAATAAAATTTACTATGTGTACGAGTTGTCCATAAAATTGATTTCGATTTCAGCTACGCTGGAAACGTATGTACAATAGTTGTTATATATGTACCAAAATGACTCAATTCAGCTACGCTTTCGTAGCCGAAATCGACATGATTTTATAGACAACTCGTACACATTTTACACCTTTGTGTGCATACGCTTCATTAGTCATTTGTCTGATGAAGGTGACGGTGTACATATCGTACTAGTCACAGAAACGTCACATAGACAATTTTATTGTATGTGTAAAAAGGATTTTATCCTAATTTAGTCTGGAGCATCCTTGGGTGAAGGGGACTCAATTTTGTATCAGTGGTGGGTGTGGCCCCCCCTGGGGCCAGAGGGGCGGGGCCAAATAGGGGAAATAGAGCTAAAACCTTCAAAATCCTTCTCCTACCATAGGAATTAAGGGATATTATCCTTATTTTGTCTGGAGCATCCTTGGGCAAAGGAGACTTAATTTTGTATAAACAGTGGGTGTGACCCCCCTGGGGGCAGAGGGGCGGAGCCCAATAGGGTAAATAGAAATTGAGCCTTTAAAATTCTTCTTCTACCGTAGGGATTAAGGGATTTTATCCTAATTTAGTCCGGAGCATGCTTGGGCCAAGGGAACTCAGTTTTGTATAAATAGGGTATGGCCCTGCTTAGGTCAGAGGGACAGGGCCCAATAGGGGAAATAGAGCTAAAACCTTTAAAATGCTTCTACCGTTGAGATTAAGGGATTTTATCCTAATTCAGTCTGGAGCATCCTTGGGCCAAGGGGACTTAATTTTGTATAAACCATGGGAGTGAACTCCTAGGGGCAGAGGGGCAGGGCTCAATAGGGGAAACATAGCAAATTCTTCAAAATCATTCTTCTTCTGTAGGAACAACAGGAATTTGTCCAAATTTGGTATAAAGCATCCTTGTGTGAAGGGGAACAAATTTTGTATAAATGGTCGGTCTGACCCTCCTGGGGACAGAGAGGCGGGGCCAAATAAAGGATATAGAGGAATAGCTTTAATATCCTTGTTCTTCCGTTGGGATGAAGGTATTTTAACCAAATTTGAACAACAGCATCCTTTTTGGAAGGGAAATCAATTTTGTATAAATGGTGGGTTTGAACTCCCTGGGGGCAGAGGGGTGGGGCCAAATAGGGAAAATAGAAAAATGGCTTTAAAATCCTTATTCTTCTGTAGGAATAACAGGTTTTTGTCCATATTTGGTTTAAAGCATCCTTGGGTGAAGGGGACTTAATTTTGTATAAATGGTTGGTCAAAATCCTTTTATTCCTGTAGGAATGACAAGATTTTGTCCAATTGCATATAAATATAACCCCTGACTAACCATGTAATATGTGTACACTACCAGCAACATCTGGCTATTTCAACTTCATTTTTGCTAACATTTCCAGGTGAGTGATACTGTTGTTAGATTTGCACTTTTGTAACCCCCTTATTACCCAGTTCCTCGACCCCTGGCCCCGGAAGTCAACCTCTTCTTAAAAATCTTATACTCATCATCGAAGAATCATTTTATGGAATAGTGGTGAAAATCTGTGAGTTAAATTTCAGAATAGATGTCTTTTGGAGGTTTTGCACACTGTGACCCCATATGACCCCAGTCCACAGCCCCTTTGGAGTTCAGCAACTACTTAAATATCAATTCTAACTCCACTGCAAGCTAATAACTACCACCAAGTTCATCAAAGTCTGACATACAGTTTCTGAGAAGTTGACTGTTTGCAGGTCAGACAAAAACCAGTGACTCAGATGAGCTTAAAATTGAAAAACATTTTCATACAATTCCTAAATTAGTGTTGTTGGTAATATAACAGCTGTTAGAGAGAAATGTGCCTGCATGATGCGAGTATATAAGTGTAATTTCTGTTAAAAGAAATAATCAAATATTTTAAGTACATAGTATGTACTTGAAATATTTGATTATTTCTTTAAACAGAAATTGTAAATGTTGATTTATTGGATACCAAGTGTCTACTAAGCACCTTGATGGTTTTCTTGGCTTTTTTATCCATTGCTTCTCCTTGACTTTTGAAGATCTTGACATTGGCCTTGAGCAGATCTTTACGTTCCATTCCCTCCCGTCGTGGCATGGCCCCAACCAGCATGGCCACATCAGCATTGTCAAAGGCTACCTCTGGGTCTGCCGTGCCCACCACATCTGTAATATAGACATCAGGCACCTCAAACATCAAATATTTCCTATATGTAACCACAATCAGAACAACATTGTATAACCAGTTTAGTGTCTAAGTCTGCTAATGAGATCAGGCCCAGATTTTAAAAAATATATCTCAAAAATTAAATAGGAATTTTATGCCTGGGATTTCCATAAAACGATGAAATACAAAAAAAAATTGGAAGTTACTCCACCAGAATGATTAAACAAAATGAAAAATAAACTAGAATTATGTCAGTGTGACATTACAGCCGCTCACCACTTTAAATTTAATNACCTGCTCACCACTTTAAATTTAATTGCTTCAGTAACACGTTGAGCATCAATATCTACTATAATACCTCAGATATGTGTTCTGTATTCTGCTAATTTAAAATCAGGTCATCTGATGATGTTGCATTTAGGATTTTCAAAATCAATCACCTCTTAAATGATGCCTTAAAAACATTTCTCCCTCTTTTTTCACCCTCTTTAAGTGTGACGCATTATTGTAATTTTCATTAATTAGCATCCTCCAATGATGTGACATGAGCGTTTACGTGCAAAGTGGCAATCGGTGAATTTTTTGCTTGTTAAATGAAGGATAATTAACAGTAGTGGGAAAACATGCATGGAGAAAAGAGACATTGTACTCCTTTTACTTTTATTTATTTTTTATTCATATTAGTGAAAATTATTAATATTTGTAGCGACTATATTTACCGTCATTGAACATACAAAATCTCACAAATGTTCTTGGAATATATTTGAATTATATTTCCCAATGCGACTTTACCAACGTAAGAGTTATTTCCCTTACACCCAATTGGATACTATTTTGACACGGCGCAAATTCTTGTCAAACAGCAGCGGCAGTTGTGTCATATTCTTAAATGGCTACACTTTCATAAATAAATACACCAGAAATAGCATGCTGTGTTACAAAAATGTTTGATAAGCATACACAGTTCACATATCGTCTCGGAGCCATTAGTCTACCGTTATCAACCTAAGCACGATATGGCATATATACGTTACCGTTTCAAACATCAAAATAGAGGTTATACTTCATCACTCATACGGTTTATAAGTTTATATTTTTACTTTTTACTTCTACAGACAGCGTCAATGCTTGACAGTCTTCACATGTGCTTTCTCGAATCATATGTGTTTCACACGCGTAACACTCCCCAGACCGCAATCCGAGTTGCTCAAACGCTCAAACCTAGTGCACGAATTTCATCACCACAACACTCGTTGAATGCACCGGAGATAAACCTTTTGTTTTCAGCAATTATTTAAAGTATGGATTATTATTTGGAGAAGAGTATCAGAAGACTTTATGTAACCCACAGGTGAGTGTCAGAGATTCTACTTTCTATTTACTATAACGAAACTATATAGCGGAAGCATGCAATACTGAATTATGCGCAAGCACCCCGAACGGAAGTGGGTCCGTCATTTCGTTCTCTGGACAGAATTAATAAGCCGCCGAGCGCGGCTTAAAAATATTACAAGCTTGCTCAAAGTAAGCATCAGTGTTGCTGTAATCTTTTGTACAATAATAAGTGCCCCGCTCTCAGTGCAGCAAGTACATAAAAAAGGTACACAAATGCATGATGAAATGATTATATGTAAAACTCTATCAAAATCAGTCAGGTAACTTAGAAACAGTACAGACAGGATGGACAGACAAGGTGATTCTAACATATACCAGGGCCACATTATCAGTACTTTATCGTTTGTCACATGGTTTCTCATATGAAAACAATTAAATGTCGACAAGTATGCAATAGGTTAATGTATATTATATCAATACAAAATTATAACAAGGGTAACTACTTGTGATATCGAGTGGACACTGTTTGGGCAAATTAAATCAATTGTGTTTTAATATGCACTTAAAGACATTTCAATGTATTTGGCTAGTCAATCTCAGGACAAATTAAGAATTCACACTCAGGAAATTTCATAGGCAATTTTTAACAGGTGAACTTGACATTTAACTGGTTTTCCTACATTTTTACATTGACATGAAAATGATATATCTAAGCAGGATTTCAGCCCTTATACTCGGGATTACCAAATCATCACAGTCATTTTCATAACAGTGCTACATTTTGTATAAACAACTGTGAAGGTACAGTTTTGACTTTTTTTATTCCAACTTACTCGCAACAAGTGGGAGAGCACAGTCCATGATCTCCATGACCACACCTCCCAGTACACCCATCATTGGCTCAATGTCCAGCAACATCAGCTCAACCGGCTGGAAAAATAAACATGTCCGATAGGTTGATATGATAGTAATGCTTTCCTCCAACAACAAGCCTGATAAGCCAATGTATGGGTCTTCAGTATGTTACATTACGTCCAGTGCACAGGCTTACAAGCCGTCCATTTGTCCTCACCGGGTGAAAATTGAAAAGGAACCATACTTGTATCGGTGCCAAGAGAAAAATAATAGATTCTTACACTAGCTCTGTCGCCTAAATATCGCGATGAAAGTTAATAAAGCTGTCATGATATAGTTGGCCCGTTTCTGTCTTTGGTTTCATTCCCTCCAGATCGGAATATAACATACGTCTAAATTAGAAATGTTTGACATATGCGTAAACAACAAATATACAAGACATTTTTTTTCTGACACTAGACAGTGCCTTGTGGTTTTAAATACTTAACCTGAGTCCTGCCATATCTCTTTCAAGAAGTATACAGTAATGAAAGTGTAAAATTTGTATCCAAATTCTGTGAATCATGAAGCTTTATGGGATTTCACACCTATATTCTAGGACAAATTCAGTTTTACCTGCAAAATATTATTTGACAACTTGGTGGCTTTCTGGTCTTTCTTGAACACATTTCTCTTGACCACAGAGTAGTAAATGTAATAAACCTACCCGTGTTTTACCAAAAACATCTCCCTTTGCCACAGAGTAGAGGAGTGAGTAGGCAATCTGGCCTGCTGCCCCAGTGATGACAACTTTAATTGGGGGTTCCTGAAAATATGATCACATCCGTTTTATATATTTACAGTTAAATACTTCTTTTATTCTTCAAATCAAAATTCTTAAAAACTAGTGATTATGGAAATCAAACAATTCATCAACTAAATGAAATAAGAGCCATTTTATATTAATTCTGATCAATTATCATACATATTATTACAC